CCCTCTTTGGTGAGGCCCATCGCTGACCCCTTCTCTGTGCCTCAGCCCCTTTCACCCCCACCCGCCCTTTCAAGGACCTGAAGCTCCACGATGGGCCGAGAGGATGGCCAACCAGAGGGTGTGGCTTCCTTGTCCTGCTCCTGCTCAGCCCCTCGGGTGCTGGCTTGTCAGTAGCCATTGGACTTCCTGGGGTCGTGCCAGGTACCCGTAAGTTAAACCTGGCAGTGCCAAGCTCTTCCAGTGTCAGTTCTTTATTACCCATCACCAGGAGACCCCGCTCAGGGCACAGTCTTGCGGAGACAGTCTCTGGCCTTCCTCTGCACTGTCTTCATGTTTGGCCCGAGGTCTCAGGGAGCAGGCATCACAGAAGCTCAGGGAGGAGTATCATCCTTAAATCCCCACTGGAAAGGCTATCTGCATCTGGGGGAGGGTGGTGTCCCCACCCCCACCCCCAGCACCTCTCACAGACCTCTGGAATAAAGTTGATGGCACTGATGGTCTGGGACCAGCCGTGTCAGCTTCCCTTGGGGGACTGTCCCCTCATATCAGACCAAGCCAGTCTCACCGTGGTAACTGGTCTTTATTTTCACATTTAAGGAAATTTGATGAAGAGTGAACTAATGGCCCAGACCTGCTTTTACAGGACATTGTGAACAGGGAGTCAGACACGGATGTCTGGAAGACCATCTTGTCAGAGGTCCGCTTTGTGCATGTGAACACCTCGGCCATCCTCAAGGTCAGTGACACTGCCTCCCTGGTCCTGCCCAGAGGGACAGACTGAAGGGGGTTGTGGGGGGTTGCGGGGTCTCTGTAACTGCTCAGAACTGAACCCTGGCATGAGCTCCCTGGAGGAGAGCCACTGCCCTTGTGGGTGACCTGGGGTGGGGTCCCCGCAGCTGGGCGGGCCCAGGCCCTCCATCACGATCCCCCCAACATCTTGCTTTGCCAGTTGAGTGGAGTGCCCCTCCCAGACTGGGGCTTTCGGCAGCTGGAAGTAGTCGGGGAGAAGCTGTCTTGGGGCTACCATGAGAGCACCGTGTGGAACGTGGAGGAGCACCGCTATGGCAGGAGTGAGCGCTCCTGGGGGCGGGGCAGCCTGTGGGCTCCAGGCCCCACTGCAGACCTTCCCCCGCTCTCCCCCACGCCCTCCCAGGGCTGAAGTGGTGAGAGCTGTCTGGTGGGTGAGGGGGGCAGTGCCACCGGAAGGTGGGGCAAGGAGAGCTTTGGACTGGAAAGATGGCCAGGCGGGTGGGGGACCGTGGACCGTGTCTGGCGGGTTCTTTGGAAAACAGCGGCGGCTGCCCTGGGCGGCTCCCTGACCGGGTTCTGCTCGCGTCCTCCGGTCCCCGTGTGCCTGCCAGGCCAGGAGCAGAAGGAGAGGGAGCTGGAGCTGCACTCCCCAACCCAGGTGGACATCAGCAGGAACCTCAGCTTCATGGCCAGATTCTCCGAGCTGCAGGTGATGGGCCGGCAGAGGGACGGGTGACCTTGCTCCTCTCCGGGAAGGCCATGTGGTCTGCCCAGCATCAGCCTTCAAACTGGGACCTGACTCAGCAGGGAGGGCCGCTGCGCTCTGTCCTCTGTCCGTGTCATGCCTGGCACCGTCAGCCCCTGGCACCCCGGCCTTCCTGCCGTGTGGCTTTGCTGGCAGTAACTGTCAGGAGGCGAGGAAACACGCAGCAGTGTGGCACTGCTCCCAGGTCAGGTCGACACGGCGCAGCCCCAGGGAACTCGGCACCAGGCACTCAGCATCCCCAGTGTCAAGGCGCCCTTACCGCCCCATCCCATCCCTTAATTCACAAACTGGAGCCCGGCAGAGGCACCTCCTGGGCTGCTCCTGCGGGTGACCTGCGTGAACTTGAGGCCAGGTGCCCCATGAAAGGGGCAGCGGTTTACTGCGCCCCCGGGCAGAGCCCTGGCCATGGAGGGCGTCTGGCTGTCCGGTGACTCCCGGTGGCCTCTGCTGTCTGCAGTGGCGGATGCTGACGGTGAGAGGTGATGATTCGGAACACAAGTACAGCTCCACGCCGCTGGACTGGGTCATGCTGGACACCAGCATCGCTTACTGGCTGCACCCCAGGACCAGTGTAAGCACAGCGTCTGCGGGCAGTCGGCCTGCGCCCAAGAGGCCTGTGATGTTGAGAGCAGCCACTGCACCCACGCAAGCCCCGGCCTTCCCGCGCCGTCCCGGTGAAAGCCGGGGGTCAGGTCCCCAGGCGTCCGCAGGGGGGGACCCGGCTTTGCTGCTGCCATGGTAGCGCGTGGTTCCCCGTGCCCGGCCGACGTGGTTTCTAAACCCATCCCACTTGATTTCCCACCTGGCACCTGGTGTCCAGGCCGGTCAGTGTTCTGCTTCCCTGTCCAGCGTGTCTTCACCTGGAGGGGCAAACACAGCATGTGGTTGTCACCCAGTAATGACTTAAGGTAGGGGGGTGCACTCGCCTTTCCCCTGCCCTGGACGTGGGGGGGCTGCGGCTTGCTGAGAAGCGGGCACTGAGGACCTTCTGGTCTCAGTGCCTTGCTGCTCTGCATCAGTGTCCCTGTCCCCCTCTTCGTGAGCCGCTCTGCTGTCCAGAAACAACCCCGTCTACTCCCGGCTCTGATTCCACTTACAGAGCTGAGCACCTTTGCACGTCCGTCCTGGCCGTGAGGGCCGAGGGTGGGGTGGCGCCTGCGCCTGCCCTGGGCCACACCAACCAGCCTCTCCCTCCCACAGGCGCAGATCCACCTGCTCGGGAATGTCGTGATCTGGGCCTCGGCCAGCCTCGCCACCCTGGTGTATGCCCTGCTCTTCGTCTGGTACCTGCTCAGACGCAGAAGGAGAGTCTGCGACCTCCCCGAGGGTCTGTGCCACAGCCCACGCGCCTCTTGCGCCCCGTCCCTCTGGTTCGGGCCAGAGCTCCATGTGCTTCGGGGCCGCATCAGCAAGTGCAGCCTTGGGGCCACCTCTGTGTTTCTGCCCCGAGGGCACTTCTGTCTCTTCCCCAGAGACAGGATGCTATGTTCCAGTCCCCATGTCACCCTCAAGGCTTCTCCAAGGCCATGCAGGTGTCAGGCCTGAATTGCTCCCTAACCCCAGCACCCCTGGAAGTGGCTGATGGGACAGAGCTGCCAGGAGGCACTGAGGGGTGGGGGGGTGCTGGTTTGCAAGAACAGAAACCCCCTAAAAACCGTCCTGATACGGGAAAGGAGCCAACGCCCGGGGTGGGCCGTGAAGGCTACCAGGGGCAGGGAGGTGTCCTCTCTGGGCTCAGCTGAGCTGGTCGTTCTCTCTACTAGTCCTGGCTCCTGGGCAGGTGCACGGTACAGGCCCGCCCCTGCCCCCTGAGGAGTGAGACCAGGAGACCCTCAGGGAGTCAGGAGTGAGCTGGGCCTGGCCCAGGGCTGGCGTCTCAGGACAGGCTCGGCAGGGGCAGCAGGAAGTCCAGGAGGTTCTTGGGACAGAGTCTGCTCTTCCTCCAGAGGCGGTGGAGGGGCTGGGATGGGAGACAGAAAGCAGGGGTCGCGAGTTCATGGGCTCGCTTGTGGACGACCAGGCGAGCCTGCCTGGCAGCAGGGAGCCTCCCGGCTCAAGATGGCCTTCCCCTGCAGACCGCTGGCTGCGCTGGGTGCTGGCTGGGGCTCTGTGCGCCGGGGGCTGGGCCGTGAACTACCTGCCCTTCTTCCTGATGGAGAAGACGCTCTTCCTCTACCACTACCTGCCGGCGCTCACCTTCCAGATCCTGCTGCTGCCCGTGGTCCTGGAGCACGTCGGCGACCACCTGTGCAGGTAGGTGCCAGGCCTTGGCAGCCACTTGCCCCAGGCCGGGGTCGGGGGGCCGGGGCAGTCATGGATGGCGATTCCAGCGTGGTGTGGATGGGGTTCCGAGCTAAGGCTGGTGGGAGGTGAAGCTGGGGGATACGCGCAGGGAAGGACCTTCGGCCTGGAGGACACCAGAACAGAGAAAGGAAAGGGAGGCGCGGGGCGGCCAGTGGCCGGGTCACGTGGGGCCCAGTAGATACACCAGGGGGCCTGTAAGCCAGAGGGGGCCTGGAGCAGCTCAGGAGGAGCTCTGTGCTCCTGCTGCTGAGGTGGGGCAGGAGCTGGGGTTCAGGAAGCAGAGCGAGTGAGGAGTGGCGCTGAGTGGGTCTGGCAGGACTTGACGAGGGCTGACACTCTGGCCAGGGCGCCGAGGGGATCTCGCGTGGGAAGGGCCAGCCCCCCCACGCCGTGCTCTGCTCCGGGCCGGCAGGTCCCAGCTCCAGAGGAGCCTCTTCACAGCCCTGGTCGTGGCCTGGTTCACCTCCGCCTGTCACGTGTCCAACATGCTGCGCCCGCTGACCTACGGGGACAGGTCGCTGTCACCCAGTGAGCTCAAGGCCCTTCGCTGGAAAGACAGCTGGGACATCCTGATCCGGAAATACTAGCGGGATGCCGACTCACGACGAGCCGCAGGGCTGGGTGCAGAAAAGGAAGGTCTTGGACGGGCGTTTCCTGCGGGCAGGCGGAGCCGCTGTGAGCTTGGTGGAGACATGGGCTTGGCTGGGATTCTGCTCTGGTCTTGAAGAAATGGCCCTCCGACAGGCACCTCGTTTTCAGCAAAGTCTGTTTTCCCTGATCATAAAGAGCACCTCCTCACTGCCGTGAGGAGCTGTGAGTCCCACCCGTGGAGCTGCTGGGTGGGACTCGCCACAGCCGAGAAAAGGCAGGGAGGGGCTGGTTCTATTCTAGCGACCCAGGCAAGGCCTGGTCTTGCTCAGAGGCTGGTGGTGGGCTCAATCCGGGCCCCTGCTCCTGCTGACCTAGTGAGGCCCCAGGAACTCCCCCTCACAGTTCAGTGGCCTGTGAACACTGGAACGCCAGCCCAAGGGGGCTGGGGGAGGCTGGCCATGACTCCTCCTGGTGATCCCCAACCCCCACCCAGAGAGCCTGCCGAGAGGTGAGCAGTAGCCTGTCATCCACACATTTCCTGGTCCTGATTCTGCCCTTTTTTATGTAATTAAAAAGGGACAAACTGGCATTCACATTTGGTGTTATTTATTGGTTCTCTCTCCAAAAAGAACAGTAAACTTGACAAAACCGTCACAGTCATCAGAAACCAGCCCTCAAGCTCAGCCAGGCTCACCCGACGTCCCAGTGTAACTAGTTAGCACTCGACAGCTGGCGGCAATGGGGAGGGACCACTTTTACAGAGCAGCTGCCACATGGAAGGGGGACAAGCCAGGACAAGAGCACCAGCGTCTGGGAGGCAAGGTCACTGGGCAAGCACAAGGGACTGGCCACTTTACCAACAGCGTCTGCTCACACCTCCCGGTCCACACACACCTTGGCCATGGGCGACACCAGGAAGGGCCTGTCCACACGGCAGCCCGGGCTCTGGGGCGCCGAGCCAGACGCTGTGCTCGCAGGAAAGCAGGCGGGCAGGGCTGGGCTGAGCCAGGGGACCCCGGCTATGTGTGTGGTGCTGGTTAAGGAAAAGCTTGCTCCCCAGGGCTCCCTCCTGGCTCTGCCTTCGGAGCACAGGCCAGAAGGAAGGACGCCTCTCCGTGGCTCCTTGCGTGCCAGATCAGTGTGTACCAGGATCATGACCCGCCAGTGGCTCATGAAGTTGGGTTACTAGGTCACAGCGAGCATGGTATTAGGAAACCAGAGTAAACAGAAAACATGTGGTTGTGTAACAAGTAAAACGGAAGAGGGTTATCTCTTTAAACTTGTGTTCCAGTTACACGTGCGTGAACCAGGTCACGCTAGTCTCTCTCGCCAGGGGTTCACCGTCAAAATCACGGTGACCAGGCTGTTTCTTCATCGTTCCCCCAAACATGGGCCTTGCGTACCACACATTCTGTGGCCATTCTCAGCAGCGAAGAGCCCTTCCAGCCCCCGTGACACAGGAAGCGGGGGAGGAGGTCAGGGCCGCTGGCAGAGAACCTGTCACACGGTGTGGACGACTCGTCCAGGTCTCTCGAGGTAACCGGGACCCCGACAGCGCCCTGTCTGTGGCCGTGTGTCCTCTCCGGGCCCGCCAGGCGCCGAGCAGCCTGCTCCTCAGTGGGGCCTGCTGCTGGACTCCAGGTGCGAGCGCTTGCCCGCGGCCAGCACCGCGGGGTGCTCCCCTGGCTCCGGGAACGTCCTCTTGTGGCTGCGCCCGTTGGCCCCTGTGCGATGCCACTTGCAGATGTCGCCGTTGAGGATGTCCTGGATGTGCTGCACGATGAGGTTGATGGCCACTGCGGGGACACACGGGCGGGGTCAGCTGCCACCTGCGAGGCGCATGCTTCCCTCCACGAGGCATCCGCCTGCCACCCAGCCTCAGCAGACAGACTGGAGCCCGCTGAGGCTGGGCACGGTAAAACCAAGCTGGCCTGGTGGCGCGGGTTTCTGTCAACTGACCCTAGGTGTGATACTTCTGCCAACAAGGGGCTCCCTGTCAAGCAGTCCTCCATGTTTTTTTTTCCTCCTTTACTGAAACTTAACTGACATTGTACGTTGTGTCACTTTAAGGTGTAAAATGTGTTGCGTGTTCTAAGTGTGTTGTAAACCTGTGCCACACATGTAAGTGGACAGGCCTCACCCTCCGGGGGCATCTCAGTAACCTAGTTGGGCTGGGCTGTGCCTGCCGCATGGCCAGGGGGGTGGGGGCGGCACAGGCCTGCTCCTTACCCATGTTGTCAACCCCTCGAGGGATGATCACGTCTGCGTACTTCTTTGTCTGCAAGGCAAGAAAAGGAGGGTGTTGTGAGATGCTTTCAGCGTGCCGGGGCCTAGATGCGGGGCGCACGCGTGGGCCGCCATGAAGGGTGAGGAGGCGGGGGCAGAGGCTCAGGTGAGAGACCGAGAGCGCAGAAGGGAGGGAAGCCAAGCTGAAGCAGCGGGAAGGGACGGCGCGCGTCTGCCGGCCTCTCCCAGACGCTGGTCTCTGTGAGCACCGCGGTCGGGGCCAGTTCTCTGCGCTGACCGCCTGGCGCTCCGGGCCGGCTGAAGTGGGGCGCCCTCCCAGTGCACACAGGGTGCGGAACCCTGCAAGAGCAGGGCTGCGCCCCAGGCAGGGACGTTGCGGGACCTGCTCCCCTTCCTGCCTCGCCCCTCCTCTGCTCCCACGCCGAGTAGCCCACTCCTGTTGGGCGCCTATGGTGCCTTTGAGGAGGGACCCCAAGTGCTGCTGGGGCGGTAGGGGGCACCTCCGAATGAGCAGAGGGAGGCCCGCAGACTAGTGAGTGCTGCCGGGGTGTGGACCTGGGCCAAGGAGGCCTGTTCCAAGAGATGAGCCACAGGGGCCGGGAGGAACGGGGACAGACTGGGTCCCCGGGCAGCCGTGTCTGCAGGCAGGAGACCCAGGGCCAAACTCCCACGGGGCTGGGCCACTCTGCTGGCTGTGGGGGCAGGCACAGGGTGACCAGGAAAGGGCTGAGAAAGGTCCTAGCGGCGGGGACATGGGCAACTCAGGCACCTCACCGTGGCTCCCCGTGAAGGGGAGGGGCGGGGAGGGACTGCCCGAGCACACTTCTGCCTCCATCCAGGGGCACCTGGTCACACGTGGCATCCAGAGCTTCAAGGTAAATGACCTACTTTTCAAAATTGTCTTTCTGGGGATAAGAGGCTGCACAACAGTCAATTTCCTAATCATTTTCTAGAAACTCCAAGACCACGAATGTAAAATAAAATGTTTTCATGAACTAGCAAGAACTGAACTCCTTTGTCCCATTTATCTAAAGCAGGAATCCTGCTTCTAATTCCTCTGTGCCTCAATTTTCCCTTTAGGAATCAAAATGTTGTGAAATTTCCCTTTAAATCTCTCCACAATCTTATCCAGTGAAAAGGTGAGATGGAGGAAAAGACAGATGGCCGCACACAGTGAATTCCGCCTCTGCACGCCAGCCGGGCCTTCCTCCACCCCAGAGAAACACACGGTGTGGAGGAAGTTTTTAAGCACCTAGTGTGCACCAGACAGCACTCTGGCAGCCGACAGACAGAGACCCCCACCCCCGTTCAGAAGGGCTGGGGGGAAGGAAAGGACAGTGTGGGCCTTGGGCAAGCAGTGCCCTGGACAGATGCAGACAAGAGCCTGGGAGGAGGTGATGCCGGTGCATGGGGTGAAGCCTGGCACGGGGAGGACCCATCCCCAGTTGAGAACCTCGCCCCGGGACCGTGAGCACGAGTGGCTAACTTCTCCACGTATACAGCTGACTGCGTCCGTCCACGACTCGGCTCTCACAGAACAGGCACCGGGGGGCCTTCTGACAAGGGGGGAAGGAGGTCCCCGGGCAAGCGGAAGGCGGTACCGGCAGGCAGAACTCCTCGAAGGCCGGCTTGACGAAGGTGGTGTACTGCGTCAGGATCTGCTCCAGGTCCCGGCCCCGCTGCACGTCCCGGAGAACTGCAGCGACAGGAGAGAGCAGGGGCCTGTAGACGCTGGGGGGACCTGGGGCCGGGCCGGCCAGGGGCAGAGGGGCCCACGTCCGCCTTACCTCTCCGAGACAGCCTGACGTCGGAGTCGGTGTCCACGAAGAGGCGCAAGTGGAACATGTCCCGGATCTCCTGACTGTAGAAGACGAGGATGCCCTCGAACAGGACCACATCTGCGGGGTAGACCACCGTGGTCTCCGCGAGCCTGTGGGGCGGGCCAGGGGAGGGGCCTGCCTTCAGTGTCAGACCTTGGGCATGGATGAGGAGGGCTGTCCCGGGAACCAGTGGGGCGCAGCCCCAGGGCGGGGAGGGGTGTCCTCACCAGCCCCCTGCACACAGCCCTCTCTTCCCCAGAACCGCCCACTTACCTTGAGTGGGTCACAAAATCATAGGTGGGGACCTCCACTGTTTTGCCCTCCACGATGTTTTTCAGAGTCCTGTGCATCAAATCGTTATCAAAAGCATCTGCAGGGGTGGAACAGAAGGCAGGACAAGTCCTTGTGCTGAGAACTTGCTCTGCCCCTGGGGTCTGCTGGGTGCGGGAGCTGCCAACGACCGACCCTAAGGAACATCTGGCCTGGAGGAGCCCCCACGGCTTCCATCTGCAGGGCCCTCTGCAAACCACAGGCTGGACCTATCCTCGCTGCCTCGGGGCAATGCCACCACCTGGGCCGCTGTCCCACCCACAAGTCTGAACACACGGATCTCCTGATCAGCCAGTTCTGAGAGGTAGGTGAACTAGGCATCTTGCTTCTAGTTCTGGGAAATAACAAAGACTAACGCTCCTTGGACCTTCTCCCCGTGTGTCCCCTGGAAAGGGATGAAGACCGGAGCCGGCCACTGGGCAGAATCATCTGCTAGCAGCAGGGAGGGGCAGCATGGCTATCCCCCTCACCCACCCCCTCTCCACCTGTTCCCCTGGTCCCTGACCAGACCAGGAAAGGGAGCTTCAAGGCCTCTGGTTCTTGTTCACCCACTGCTGGCCTCTCGAGGACTCTGCTCCAATGGACACGGTCTGCATAGCAGGCCCCTGATAGCAAGAAGGTGTTTAGGTTTCTCCACGACCACAACTGTGGCAGAGCAGTGGGCCTGAAGGCCCTTCTGAGGTGCAGATTCCCTGACCGGCTCCAACCGATGGAGCCTGGAGCTCCTGCAGGGCCCAGGGGGCACAGAAGAGACCCCCCGGCTTAACCCCCAATCCGCTCCACAGAGGTTTAGCCAGGGACCAGCCAGGCCTCTTTCCCATCCATGGCCAACTCTGGACCCAGTCTCCGGTCAGCCCTCCTCCCCCACTCCCTCCCCACCTTCACGGCCTCTACCTGGGTGGTCGAAGTTGTACTGTCCCTTCAAGGCCTTGGCCTTCTGCTCCGCGGTCAGGACCTTATAGAACCTGTCTTGGCTCAAGATGACCAGTTTGCGCTGCCGGTGATCCACTTCCTTCTGTCCCAGCAGCTCCATGATCTTCTCACACACGGTGGACTGGGAAACACAAACAGGAGCCCCGCCTGGAGACGCCCACCCAGGCGCATCAGCTCCCGAGGGGCCGCCAGGTCAGCGGCTGCACCTGGCGGGGAGGGCGCTGGGCTGCATCAGCGGGCGCAACGCGGACCCGGACCACGAGCGGTCAGGCCAGCCGGGAGCTTGCGGGGGAGCCTCGGGGTCCAGCGACGTGCTCCCCGCCTGGCCCGCCGCGGCCGCAGCTCCTCCGCCCCCGGCCCTGTCCACGCCCGGGAGGTGGGCGGGGGGACACCTCGCGGCAGCTAGAGGCGGGGGCCTCCCTCTGGACTGAGGCCCGACAGGCCGCGCGGAGTTCCGGGGGCGCCCAGGGTGACTCGCAGGCCCCGCCGCGCCGCCCAGCCCCTTACCTTGCCGCTCGCGGTTCCGCCGCTCACGCCGATCAAGAAGGGCCGCTGGTGAGGGCGGTCCGCCTCGGGCCCGGCGCCCTCGCAGTCGCCGCCTCCAGCCGAAGCCATCTCCGGCGTCGCTCGACCGCATCTGGCTCCCGGCTCCCGCCGCCGCCGCCGCCGCCGCAGCCGCGCAAAGGTCGCAGACGCCCCCCTCCAGGGGCTCCACTTCCGGGAGGCACGCGGCGCGGCAGGGGGCGGTGCGGTGCGCGCGCGTGGCACGGCGGGAGTTGTAGTCCTGGTTGGTGGCTGAGAGCCCCGCGCATGCGTGGGCTGCCCGGGCCCTCCCTCCGGGCCTGGAAGGCCGCCGAGGCACGTGGACCCGCTGCCGCGACGCCGGGTTGTTTTTTTATTATTTGCTGCAAAAGCCAATCCGTTTCGCAACTGGCTGCAGAAGTCTCCAGATGTCGGGCGGCCTCCGAGAAGGTTCCTTCTGCCCGCACCTCCGCACCTGCCTGCCTGGGGTGGCGGTGGGGGTGCGCCGGAATGATCCCCCAGGACTGCAAGGTCGGGGTGGGGTGCTTGGGCATAGAGGCGGGTCAGACTACGGAGCCCCATGACCCGGGTCGGAAACTAGAGCCGGTTCTGCAGCCTCGTGTGCGGTCACCCAAGAGCGCGCCGTCACCTCCGCACCGGCCCGGGTGCTCAGCCCTTGCCTCCACCGCGTGGGTCCAGTCCTCTTGCCTGCCCCTGTTGGCCCTCCACGTTATTCCTCCCTCCCCGAATTTCTTAACACAACCCTGAGCCTTCGGTGGTCCCCCACTGCCTCTGGCCAGCAAGTTCCTGGCCTCCTCAACCTGCCCCTTACATGGTGGGCAGAAGTCGTGTGACGACTTTCTGCCTGAGCCCTAGAGGAGCTGGGAAGAAGGGACCTTGTCTGCTGGACTCCACCTGTGCCCCTGGTCCAAGAAGGCAGTTACCGACCCATTCCTGTTGTAAAATGTCCTCAAGGCATCAAGTCTCTCTGCAAGCCTAGCTCCTGCTGCACTGTGAGCCCTCCATGAATATTTGATGAAACTGAAATATGATGCAGGAGAGACTAACATGGAGACATCAGGCGAAGTCACTGTTTATGTCACTTCCGAAGCATTAACCGATTTCAGCAAGGGTTACAGGACGGTTCTGCTGGGGGGTGGAGCGGAGAGGGGATGATGAGGGGTTGGAGGGGGGTGGTTGGGCCTCTTGAGTCCTGAGGACCTGGGCAGAGGGAAGTGGATGAAGGGCGGCTTGGTCAGCGTGAGAAAGCACCGCCCCCGCCAGCTGAGAGGCGCTTACAGGGAAGCTCAGACTAGGGCAGTCACATGTTCACAGAGGGCGTGACAAGGTTGGGGACCAAGCGCCAGGGCGAGTCAACAGTGACTGACCACCATGTTTCCCTGCTCCCCAGCTGTTGGGGGGACGTTGTGATTTTGTGAAATTAACGTATGTGAGTGAAGACAGGGCAACTGATGGCCAGTAGAGGTTCAACAACAGAAATGGAAATAGATTTATTACTCACGGGTCCTGGAGGAGGTGCACCGCGTGCTTGGAGGGGCCACGCAGGCGGTCTAGGCAGGGTGCGGAGAAGCCGGGAGAGGCAGGTCCCGGGGCGTAGTCCTTTATCAGGATCCCTGGGTGGAGTGCATTGGGGTTCCCAGACTAGGACTGGATTGGTTAATTCAAGCCAAAAGAGTAGGGTTCGCTCAGCCCTACAGGGGTCTTATCACTAGGGCACTCAAGACATAGAGGCACTAGAAAGCAGGAGGGAGACTCTTGATCACAGAGCATGTGTTTGCTGGTGAACAGGCTGCTATCTAGGGTGTGCGGGGGTGTGAAGGGGCTCGAGTCAGGCTCAGGTCTCTGCAGGCAGTGGCTGTCAGGCAGCAGAACGGTGGAGTATCTTGGTGAACTCTCATCAGGGAAATCCCATGGTGAGGCTGCCATGCTCAAGGCACAGAGGGCCTGGCATAAGGCCCGGCTCTGAGGAGGTGCCGATTCTGTTTTCTTCATCTCTGCATTGGCCTATTTGGCATCTGTTGCTCACAGGGCCAGTTATATTAACTATAGCTTTTGTATGTGCACGTGCGCTCAGTCGTGTCCGACATTTTGCGACCTCATGGACTGTAGCCCACCAGGCTCCCCTGTCCGCGGAATTTTCCAGGCAAGAATACTGAAGTGCGCTGCCATTTACTCCTCCAGGGGATCTTCCACACCCAGGGATGGAACCCACGTCTCCTGCATTGGCAGAAGGATTTTTACTGCTAGTGCCACCTGGGAAGCCTATTTTTGTGTGTGTGTATATTTGTATATATTTAATATTGACACTTTTTGGGGGAGGGGGGCATGTTGTACAGGTTAGGATCTTAGTTTCCTGACCAGGGATTGAACCCTGGCCCTTGGCTGTGAAAGCTCAGAGTCCTAACCACTGGCTTGCCAGGGAATTTCCGTTATTTTTTGTATTCTTCTTTAAAAAAATTATTATTATTATTATCTTTTGGCCACACTGCATGGCATGTGGGATCCTAGTTCCCCAACCAGGGATCAAGGCCACAGCCCCTGTGTTGGCTGCTCAGAATTGGAACCACTGCAAGTCCCTTCTTCTTTTTTTTTTAATATTTATTTATTTGACTGTGCCAGTCTTAGTTGTGGCACTCAGGATCTTTGATCAGGAATCTAGTTCCCTGACCAGGGATCGAACCTGGGCCCCCTGCATTGAGAACTCAAGAGTCCTAGCCGCTGGACCACCAGGAAGTCCTTATTTCTGGTATTCTTGTTGCTCCGGCACAAGGCTAGCCACTGGTGAGGGACAGCAAAGGGAGCCCATCTTTCACAAGCAAACCAGCCCACCCCCGACCAGCTCTCATCTAGCCCTACGTGCTCCCACCCAGCCTCAGGCCCACGCGCCCTCCCGGACCTCCCACCCGCTCCCTGCCCGGCTGACTCTTCCCAGCATGCCCTGGTCCTCTCCCACAGCTGGGCCAGGCCAGCTCCTCCGTGTTCTCCATGGAAAGCATGGACCACAACTGCAACTATGGAGCAGGTGTTGCAGTCACCTGCTTGATGTTTGTCTCCAGAGCTGAGCCATGAGCCCGGGGAGGGCAGGGCTGTGGCTGCGTGTTGGGCCGACTCTGCCATGTGCAGGAAGCATCTGTCATTGCTGAATGAGCAGTGGGGTTGAGACTCAGCCTTGGTTTTCTCAGAACTAGGTGAGGCAGAATTCTGGGATTCTTGCCCCCATCTTCATCATTGCCCCACCAGGTCAAGTTCACAGGAACACAGGAAACATAGCTTTCCAACATGGCTCTCCTCCCCCATCCCCCTAGCCAGCCCCACTGCCTGCAAAAATTGTCGGTTCATCCCCCCTTAGGTCTTTAAGCTTTTGTTGAACACAAGTTGGTGCTCAGCACTTGGGTTGACCAGGTGCTTGGCATTTTAAGAGTATTTATTGCTAGTTTCCCAATCACAGGTGTAACCCATGCTCATTGCAGAAAATATATACACACAAACATGCACACAAAACTAAAATCAACCATAACTCCTCACCCGAGGAAAACCGTGGTATTGTATTCTGGTATTTGCTTTTCTGATCTGATATGGCCGCAGCTAGATAGTGCAAAGTTAAACAAGGTTTGGTTATATATCTTGAATAGGAGTAAGGCTTTATACAACCTGTCAAAACTGCAGAAATAGTAGGAATAAACCCACGAATCATTAAAAGCGTGTATGTGTGCGTGCCTGCTCAGCGTGTCCAGCTCTTTGTGACCCCATGGACTGTAGCCTTCCAGGCTCCCCTGTCCACGGGATTTCCCAGGCAAGAATACTGGAGTGGGTTGCCATTTCCCACTCCAGGGGATCTTCCTGACCCAGGGATCAAACCTGTGTCTCTTGCATCGGTAGGTGGATTTTTTATCATTGCACCACATGGGAGCCCATGAATAGTTGAAGTGGTAACTGTTAATAGTAAAAATTGATTGTGCAAAAGACTGTTCGTAAACAAAGAGCTTGCAAAGCGTAACACAGAATAAGGCTCAGAGTGCGTTATTATAAAGCAGCTCGGATGGTGAGAGGCAGTTGGCTGTATTCTTTGCTGTGGTTGGTTATATTAATAATGTTGGGATTTTCTTAAGTGATAGGGAATTGGTTCCTTCACACCAATTCTGGGAAACAGTTTCAGCTGTGCTTATGATTTCCAGAGGCAGAAGGAAGGAATGACCCCAGTCAAGTTACTCTTGCAAAATAAGCTACATTAAATTTTGTTTGTATGGCTGAACTGTCACCAAACCAAACTTGAGTCTGTTTGTCTAAATGTAACAAAGCCAATCTACTGACACCAGGTTGTGGTGAAAGAAAATGGAGCGTTTATTGCAGGTGCCAAGCAAGAAGTCCAGGACAGGCATTGCTTAAAAGTCCTGAACTCCCCAAAGGCTTTGGGGAAGGGTTTTTAAAGACAGGGTTGAGGGAGGGGGGTCGTGCGATGCGTGATCAGCACTCCGACACTCTTCTGAATGGTTGGTGGTGAGGTAATCAGGAGTCAACAGCATCAACCTGCCAGTTCTAACTGGCTTGGAGTCTGTGTGCTTGTGGGCAGCAGACAGTTAACTTCTTCCACCTGGTGGGGATTTGGGTATCTGCAAAACAGCTCAAAGGACACAGCTCAGAATGTTAACTATAGCCCTGGAGGAGGAACTAAAGGTCCTTGACTTTAATAGCTAAACTATTATTTTGTCTTGCTTGACTGTTTTTCTTTCTGCATTTTCTCACTTCTCTGATTTAATTTACTCTTTAGAACTTGGGGTTCCCTTATGGCTCAGCTGGTAAAGAATCTGCCTGCAATTGGGAGACCTGGGTTTGCCCCCTGAGTTGGGAAGATCCCCTGGAGAAGGGAAAGGCTACCCACTCCAGTATTCTAACCTGGAGAATTCCATAGACTGCACAGTCCGTGCGGTGGCAAAGAGTTGGACACAACTGAGCGACTTTCACTCACATAGGACTTGGGGAAGGCCTAGGATGCTAGTGGTTTTTCTACAGACAAGAGGCAGGTGGAGGACATGGCAGGGGTTGGGGTCTGTTCTGGGAAGGCCCCATAGGGTCCTGCTTGGTTACAAAACTGGTTTTGTCTACCCAGGGAATGTTCAAGGCTGGCCTTCATTTGTTTTTGATTTTAACAAACCCATTTTCCTGATGGGGAAATTGAGAAGCAGAGAGATTACATGGCAACCACCCAAGGCTTGTGGTTGCCAATGGACCTCCAGTCAAGAGAGCAGAGACAGCATGCTCACACACATACACGCTCCAGACATGGAGGAAGGCATTGTCTGCCAAGATAAGAAAAGGAAATACGGTATCCAGGCCTTGCGAGGAGGCTTTCATTGCCAATGGTTGAAGCCGAGTTGCCCACGACAGGGCCAGAACCCAATTGTGCCTTGAGGGCTGGGAGTCAGAGTCACAGCCCCACTCACAGTAGCAGGTTCTAGAACTGGCCCTCTGCATATGGCTGGAGACTGAAAGGGACTGGTGCTTTTGTGAGACTGAAGCAAGCCACTACCCCAGTGACTCTGGGCAGAGTCCTCCTGCAGAAAATGGAACGGCCCTTCCACGTGGTGCAGAAATGCCAAGTGGAGAAACAAAAGATGGTTCACCAGAGGAGCCACCTGACTCGCGTTGCAGGCGCACATGTAGCTCACGCAGGGCACCTCTAGAAGTTTACTTCTGCTGACCATGAACTCGCGATGATGCGGAAGCCTGCGAGGAGACCTGCCTCTTATGCAACAGCAGGTGCAGCAAATGGGCCAATTCATATCTGAGAAACTAGACATATTACAGCAATTTGAAAAGAATTTAAAACCAGGTCTGTACAAGTGTTTGCAAACATGGCAACCAAATGCAACATGTAATCTTGGCCTAGATTCTGTCCTGGCCAAAAAAAACACACTAGAGAAGACAGGAAAGTCTGGTGTGCTGCAGTCCATGGGGTCTCTGAGTTTGAAATTACTTTCCAATAAAAAGTTTTAAAAACCATTTGAAGAGAAAGCACATGGACTAGAGAGTTGTTATTTAGCCGCTCAGTCGTGTCCAACTCTTCACGACCCCATGGACTGCAGCACATTAAGCTTTTCTGTCCTTCATTATCCCCCAGAGTGTGCTCAAATTCATGTCCGTTGAGTCATGGACATGGTGATACTAGCTAACCATCTCATCTTTTGCTGACCCCTTCTTTTGCCTTCAATCTTTCCCTGCATCAGGGCCTTTTCCAGTGAGTTGACTCTTCATATCAGGTGGCCAAAGTATTGGAGCTTCAGCATCAACCCTTCCAATGTATATTCAGGGTTGATTTCCTTTAGGGTTGACTGGTTTGATCTTGCAGTCCAAGGGACTCTCAAGAATCTTCTCTAGCACCACAATTCGAAAGCATCAATTCTTCAGTGTTCAGCCTTCTTTGTGGTCCAACTCTCACATACGTATATGACTACTGGAAAAACCATAGCTTTGACTATACGGACCTTTGTCAGCAAAGTGATGTCTCTATTTTTTTGGCATCACCACAGAAAAGACATTATGAAAAACATACAGATTTTAAAAGGACCAGGTGAAAATTCTAACCGCGAAAAGTAAAGACTGACACATTTTGCGGCGACTCCCCTGGTGATCCTGTGGTTAAGACTCCACACTGCCAAAGCAGGGAGTTCATCTGTGTGTGAAACTCAAGCCCTAGACCACTTCCCTGGTAGTTCAGCGGGTAAGGAATCCGCCTGCAATGCAGGAGACCCCGGTTCAATTCCTGGGTCAGGAAGATTCCCTGGAGAAGGGATAGGCCACCCACTCCAGTATTCTTGGGCTTCCCTTGCGGCTCAGCTGGTAAAGAATCTGCCTGCAATGCAAGAGACCTAAGTTCGAACCTGGGTTGGGAAGATCCCCTGGAGAAGGGAATGACTACCCGTTCCAGTATTCTGGCCTGGAGAATAGTCCATGGGGTCGCAAAGAGTCGGACAGGACTGAGCGACTTTCACTAATAATGCCATCACTGAGGCCGCTAGTCCACTACAGGGCACAGACAGAAACCACCCCTCTCCCCTCCTCCAGGGTTTGCCTCCTCCTCCTTGGTCCCAGGGATCTCTCTTCCCATCTTGGGAGCTCAGCTAGGAATTGAAATTGCTGTCTGGCTTGTGGGTGTAGTTTATCTAGCATTTCTGGATGTTTGGAGTAGACCTGCTTTGAATTCTCCAATCTGGCAAGTCTCAGGGAACAGAAGTGTCACACGCATTGTTTTGAACCCCAGGAGACTTCATATGAAAATCTGCACCGCTGGCTTCCCTTGCTGGGAGACACAGAAGGGGAGACTGGGCACTCCTCGGACCCGCAAGGCCCTTGTCGGCCACCAGGGCATCCGCTGGGCTCTCCGGCCGGCCGGTCTCCCGCGCTCCTTCACCGCCGCCGCCTCCAACCGTTCCCAGCCGGGCCTGGGCTGCGCCCCTCCTCCCACCCGCCTCCGACTCGGCCCCCTTCCCCGGGGCCGGCCGGGCGCGGGTCCTGCGGAGGCGGCCAGACCGCCTGGGCTCGGGCCCCAGCGGCCGGGGCGCGCGAGGAGCCACCTGTTGACCCAGCCGCGGGCAGTCCCGCGGTCAATGATTAACCGGCCGCGCAGCGCGCACCAGGAAACCCGAGCGGTCCGCGAGAGCGGAGCCGGGCCCGACGGCGGCGGCGGGAGGCGTGCAGCCCGGCTGGTCGCGCCATGGACGCAGGTAAGGGCGGCGGTCCCGGGGAAGGGGGGGACGACCCTCACCCCGGGACCCGAGGCTGGCTCCGCGGGGTCCCAACCTGGCCCTGCTCTGGGACGCCTCTCCCTGCCCCACGGGGCTGGGGGAACCGGCGGCTGCCGCGGGAAGTTCGGGGATCTTGGCCGTGCCCCCCTGCGCAGGGTGGGCGCCCCCGCGGGAGAGCTGGGGCGGGGCAACCCTCGGCTTGGCCCCCGGCCGGGCAGCAGATGCCCCTGCAGTGGCGATCTGGGGGGTCGTGTTCCCCCAACCCCCACGCCCCGTCCTTCCTCTAGTAACTTTCTTCGCCCCTCTGGTTAGGCTGAAGTCCTTGGAGCGGGGGAGGGGCGACCCTGGCGGGGTGGGGGGCCAGAGACCGGGAGAGATGGGGAGAGCCCCCGCAGACTGAAGTAGGGCCCGAGGGAAGCGAAACGGGAGCGCGAGCCAGAGAGCTGGACGGACTGGGTAGGGGGCGCGGGAAGGCCCCGCAACTTTGGCGTCCGCGGTGCAGCCAGCACTGGGGGCGGGGGGCCCGGCGATCCGAGAATCCCCCGGCCCGGCCCTAACCTCGGGAGTCCCAAGCTGGCGGGCCAGGGGCTGCTGGTGACGGCGGGGGGACCGGAGCCGCGGACGGTGCGGCCGGCCTAACACCCCCCACCCCCACCCCAACCACCAACCTGGGGCGGGGGCGCCCCTAGGTCTCTTCTGCAAGGGGCTCCCAGGGGGTTGCTGCAGCCAAGAGGGACCGGGCCCGCCGGGCTGTATCTGCCGCCGCCACCCCAGACCTCCAGGAAGCGCCCTCTTCCCCACCCTCGAGCACCTCCACCCGGCTCCCGCCCCCCCCCCCCCCCCC